CCAGGTAAAATAAACTACAAGCAGACACTGAGCAGATCAACGTCGTTCTGTTCTCTGATTGGTCCAGGTAAAATAAACTACAAGCAGACACTGAGCAGATCAACGTCGTTCTGTTCTCTGATTGGTCCAGGTAAAATAAACTACAAGCAGACACTGAGCAGATCAACGTCGTTCTGTTCTCTGATTGGTCCAGGTAAAATAAACTACAAGCAGACACTGAGCAGATCAACGTCGTTCTGTTCTCTGATTGGTCCAGGTAAAATCCTCCCAAAGAAATCCTTGTCTGTGGCAGAAATTGTAAACGTAGCAGTGAAGGGAAACTACTACACAGTGGTGATGGAGTGAGTTCAATCCAATAGGATGTCAGAATGGTATATATTTACACTTATACACAAGTATTTGTACTTAGTTACTTGACACCTCTGGAAGTAGGACATGTATCTTTCAGGCACATAGTTCAATACTTTACCACAGTCAACGATGTTACCTTCAGTTGTTGTGAAAAAGCTGTGTATATCAAAAATAAATTGACTTTTGCATCATAGCCTATCTAAACACCTCTGTCTCTTTAAGAACCTTCTACTGTTTCTGACACTCCCACTTCAGCACTTTTTAAAACAATGCTTTGGAGACGTGCTCTGTGGGGCGGAGCTTGGCTTCAGACTGAGATCCAGGGAGGTGGGAGGAGCTTTGTACAAACAGGCAGTTGTTTTTACCAGCCAACATTTAGGCAGCTCCACATGGCTCCACCAGAAGTCAACGCAACACTCTGGGTATGTTCATGAGGGAATGACATTATAACATGACATAAAGCTCAAAACAGTTGATTTTGCATAATACCCCACTTTTAAATGCAATCTTGTGCCGTACCATGACTCTCAGCTACTACTCCCCAAACACATTTAGCTTAGTGTCTGTTATCTATTTCTGTTTTATCTAACATCAGCTGAAAGTCAACCAGTTGTACAGTTATGTTCATAATAACAGCAGTATGTTTAAAAAGGTGAGTAAATCTCAAAATTCGTCAAATAAATTGTATTTACAAATAAATTGTATTTACAAATAAATTGTATTTACAAATAAATAGTATGCGTTTGTGTTCACACAAACGCATTCTGGACACTGCACATTCTGTTTAAAAGCAAATAAGTAGAAAACATGATTGAATATGAGAATATTTTACAGAAAGTCAAGAAATACAATGTTCAGAAAAATACCAGTGTTGACATCTTTTTTTCAAACTCAAAAATATACTGACTAAACTAAGAAATAATTGAAGATTCATCTTTCCTGAGAATCAARCTAATATTTAGTTGTATAACCACAGTTTGTGATAACTGCTTCACATCTGCGGTACATGGAGTCGACCATCTTCTGGCACCGGTCAACRGGTACAGCAGCCCAGGACCATCGTACTACATTCAACAATTCCTCTGCATTTCTGGTTTTTGCATCATGAACAGCATTTTTTATGTCAGACCACAAGTTTTCTATGGGATTAAGGTCCAGGGATTGTGCTGGCCATGCCATTACTTGACTTCTGTTTGTTTGGAACCATGGTTGTGCTCACTTGTTGGTGTGTTTGTGGTCATTCTTGTTGAAACACCCATTTCAAGGGTATTTCTTCTTCAGCAAACAGCAACATGACTTCTTCTGGTATTCTGGTGCACTCAGACTGATCCATGACCCCTGGTGTGATAAAAAAGGACCAACACTATAGAAACATCCCCAGATCATAAAGTCTGAACCATCATGTTGTACTGTCCTGAACCATCATGTTGTACTGTCCTGAACCACCATGTTGTGCTGTCCTGAACCACCATGTTGTACTGTCATGAACCAACATGCTGTACTGTCCTGAACCATCATGTTGTACTGTCCTGAACCACCATGTTGTGCTGTCCTGAACCATCATGTTGTACTGTCCTGAACCACCATGTTGTGCTGTCCTGAACCATCATGTTGTACTGTCATGAACCAACATGCTGTACTGTCCTGAACCACCATGTTGTACTGTCATGAACCACCATGCTGTACTGTCCTGAACCACCATGTTGTACTGTCTTTGTGTACTGTGGCTTGAATGTTTGCAGGACGTCTGACAAACTGTGACCCTTAGACCCAAAAAGAACTATTTTAATTTCATCAGTCCACAAAATATCACACCACTTCTTTTTAGACCAGTCAATGTGTTCTTTGGCAAACTGTAACTGCTTCAGCACATGTATATTTTTAACAATGAGACTTTGTGGGGGCTTCTTGTTGGGAGTTTGGCTTCACACAGAGGTCATCTGATTGTTGCAGTACTCACAATCACAGATCTTTGATCCTCCTGGAGCTGATCATTGGTTCAGCCTTTGGTTATTCTGATTCATTCAAATAGTGGTTTTTCTTTTTCTTCCTTGACTTTCTGGTTTTCTGCCATTTTAAAGCTTTTGATATCATTTTAGCTGAACAGTCTATCATTTTCTGCACTTCTTTATAGGTTTTTCCCCTCTCTTATTAACTTTTTGATCAAAGAAAGCTCTTCTTCTGAATATGCCTTGAACAACCGTTACTCTGTTTTTCAAGAACAAATGCACATCCAGCATCAGTTGTCTTGATCATTAAACAGGACCACCTGTTCAACACCTGTTTTTTTCACACAATCAATGGCCTCGCTAATCTTTTCTTTACCTTTACTAAACACTATAGAAACTTATTTGCAGTGTAGAAGTTGAAATTGAAATAAAAAAAGTGATTTATCTTGCTAACGATGTGGGACTGTTATTATTTTGAACACAACTGTACGTTTGGTGACTGCACTGCTAAACCTGTCCATCTAAAAGCCCGGTCACACTGTAACGTTTCAGACAACTTATGACAATTTATTAACTTTTTTATGTCTACATTTCTAACAAAAGTTATATTTTTCATCAATGTTGTAGTATTACAGTGTGTACGTGTCTAGAAGATGCTTCCAGTTGATTTTTTTTTTATTATCACGTTTTGGTGTGGCAACTGACCCAGGGCACAGGCAGAGTTCAGGTGAGTACAAAAATAAAGAATTTATTACAAACTCAAAAAACGCTGACAAGGCAGCTACACAAACTCTCTAGAGTGACGTGGTGAAAACTCTTTGGAACATGGACCACGAAGGACGACACAGGCTTTTCAGCACAATGACCTGACAATGAGACAGAGACAGGACTGAGCTTAAATACACAGAAAACTAATGAGGGAACAGAAAACACCTGGGGACAAACACAAGGGTCATCAGCAGACTGATGCAGGGCAGCTGACAGGAGAAACACAGGGGAACATTGAAACACTGGAAAACCAAGGCATAAAATGACAAAAATTCCATTTTTAAAATGTTCGTAAGATGGCACAAGTTGTCTAAAACGTTATAGTGACAGGGCCTCAACCAAGTRGTTCAGTCTTCTACCAGCCAAGAAGTATTTTAGATTAATAATCTTCTTMACCAGGAAACATTTCCTCATTTCAAGAAGACTTACTAAGTCCTATTTTCTTACTGTACTGGCAGATTATTTCTCAATTTGAGAGAATTCCTATTATAATTTATTATTTTTTTTAAACTTGTTTTTAAATGGCTAATTTAGCAGTGGCCTTTCTGTGAGTTTCATGAACATCTGTGCAATGAGTCATGAGATATTTCATCAGACCAAAGGTGCTAAAAGAAAGACTTTGTACAGTGTAGTGATTGAGTTATGTGTTGTGAATAACTCTCAGCTACCTCCATGTCAAATTTTAACTCAATATCTGTCATATTTACAGAATTACAGCCATGTTTTTGTTGTTTAAGGTTAGCTGGCTGCAGTGGCCATCTTTAATAGGGTTGTCTCCAGTAGTCAGACAGTTGTCCATGTATGTATATGTGTGTGTGTGTGTGTATATATA